AGACAGCATAATTCCTAGGTTATTATGTGTAGCTGCTCGATCTGGGTGATCTGGTGGGGTGGCAGCTAGTGCGTCTTCGCCGTGCTTGATGGCTTTTTGAAGGTCTCCAAGGTCTCCTATCCGCTCAAATCTCGTAGACAGCATATTTCCCAGGTTATTATGTCTACCTGCTCGATCTGGGTGATCTAGAGGGGTGGCAGCTAGTGCGTCTTCAACGTGCTTGATGGCTTTTTGAAGGTCTCCCAAGGTGCCGATCCGCTCAAAGCGTTTGCATAATATCACCCCAAGGCCTGCAATTGCCCTGGTACTTTCCGGGTCACCCGTGCGGGTTCTTCGCACTATTTCCTCATTTATCTCTTCCGCTAATTCTAGATCTCTCATGCTACCAAGCCGCTCAAATCTTTCCGTCAATAAGATGCTCCGCACATTTCGCATATCATGGTGAGAGCGGTTCTCTGTTGCATATGTATCGATGGCCGTTTCCACCCGAATAATTGCCTCGTTGAGGTCGCTCAACTTACCTAGCCGCACATATCTTCTGTATAAATCCCCACCAGGGAATGTGTACCGGTTGTGTATGCTCTCGAGATGACGCCGTAGAGTGAGGATACTGCTGCACACGGTTCCGTAGTTGGTCATGTTTTGCTGTGTTTTTTCTACTTCCTCCACTGCCCACACCCAGGCCATGTCGAGATCTCCCTGATCTTCCGTGTGCTCAAATTTGTCCCCATACATTTTGCGCAGCTTGGCCGCCAAAACAAGTCTTTCCGGGTGGCGGAAAGTCATCTTGGTAGTTGCTCTTTCTGCTAGTACAATTGCCCGATTGAGGAGGTTAAGGTCGAGGGTTTTCTCGTATTGAGCAAAGAGAGCATCGCTGTTTTTTATCATATCAGGTAGCTCTTGATACCACCCATGGATTCTGCCATCTTGTCTTAATGCTCCGCTTCTGGGGTCCCCAATATCCCGTGAACACGATTCCTCTGTCATCTCTTGTCCGTAAATCCCAATGGGATGTGGAATCTTCGGCCTTGCTTTCGTCGCTTTTGCTGCTGATTAGCACTTCGTGGTTCGTGTATCTGATATGTCTAATTGGCCGCCGGTTGTTGATGTCTCTGCCAGAGGACGAGGAGTGCTTGCTGTGATGAGACTTGGTCACTAATTGGAGCAATTAGCACAACTCAAGATGCAGACTGGCTTGCTATTGCAATACCTATCGTAGCTAGTAGAGAACTTAATCTTCGAAATGACTTCAGGTATTAAAGTATTCCTGATTCCGGGGGTTTTCCAAAGATAAACACCTTCCTGGCCGAGTATAGCCTCTATCTCTGTTTTGGTCCCCCAACCGCTCGGTTTAAGGCCCCGTTCCCGTACTTGAAATTGTGAAGTTCTTGTGTACGAAACACAAAGTCAGCCAATGCTTGTTGAACAAGTTTCTCTATCCCCAATCTTACCTGTTCTAGGGGCGTGGTGTTCCTTTCTCCCGCCGAATCTTTGTCGCTCAATCTTCTTCCCTCTTCCGGATTTCTCTTTCCTGTGCAGGGAAATTCGGGTTGGTGAGAAACGGTGGCGTGATGCCGCGGTAGGGATTTTGATGGGCGGTGGTGAGTGATGTGGTATGAAGAGCTCGAGCACCTTATATTTAATAGCGAGGGAGCTGAGTTATCAGATACGGTGTGCGGAGCTCAGCCTGCTTCTTCTAAAACTGGCACAAAGGGCAGACTTGGCGAATGGGCTGTATTTTCTGCACATTTGCCTGCTATAGCACATCTGCGGGTTGGGATGCATAGAAGGCACCGAGGTCTACTACTCATCCATCCTGCATCCCAGTTTATCCACCCCCAGCCTAGCCTCGTTTATCATCCCTGGTAATGTTCCGTTCGGGCTGCGGAAGCTATGACTACCCAGTATTGAACAGCGCATTCTCGCGTGCTTCGGAATGTTCTCGGAGAACCCTCTATCTGAATGAACCAGACCTACGGAACCTTTCTGCGTTGGAATTGCATGAGTATCTCGCACTTGGTTAATATAAATGATTGGACATACGCTAGTGCAGGAATATCTACAATCCGGGTCCGCCAGTTTAGCCGGTGCGGCGGGTTAACTCAGCCTTCCCTGCGTTCAGCCTTGGGGAGGTGTACAGTACTGTACTGTACCCCACCCTAAATTTCCAATAATGCGAAAACACTTTACGGAAGTACAGTACAGCCGAGCAGCCCGAAGAATGTATGGTGCAAAAAACTGCCTCTGATATCACAAGACGCGAGTATAGCAAGGAAATTTCCTCAGACCCGCTTGTAAAGATTTACCTTGTCTTTTTTGGAATCATCTCTAAGCAAAAAAACTCTTGGCATTGAGGCTCAAGACCACCTCCTCCGCTATCCCGGCGTGGATCCTATCGGCTGCCAGGTATCATCAAGTACCTGTAGCCACGTAGAAATCGGGGCAGTTTGCTCCGTCCAAGGAGGGATTCTGCCCATTCCTACTTGTTGATAAAGGTCGGGGAAAGAACTACGGGTTGTTGACATTGGGGACCCAGGCCGGTTGCATTGGTGTCTACTTTTTGGTTTCTCGGAAGGCCGAAACTTAATGGTTTCTGAGGCTAGAAGGGATTCGGGAGCGTTGAGGTAATGTAAAGTGCTGATTTGTACCAAGGCTAATTTTTCACTGCTCGCAACTGAATCCAGCATGGAATATCTTGTTGGTTGTAAGGCAACCTTTTTTCTATTAAATTTATATCTAAGTTACTCAAGGTTGGTTGGATCCACTCGAACTCGTTGTTTCCCACCCGCCATTTCCGCAGACCGTCTCCCCGTTAACCTACGGGACCTGGCTGGTCACATTTTCCGATTTTGCTTCATCCCTATCCGGCAACTATACCCGAACCCGCCCGTGAACTTCGCCCCGAGTACCGATAAATTATATATTGACGTTTTGGAGGGCTGTATGATCACCGACTCCCTACCCGTGCATGGCTATCCGAGAGACCTGGTTGGGGAGAGGCAATGTGCCTCGCTTGGAAACAGCATGCATGAGAGGAGCACTTCAGGGCAACAAGCTTGAACACGTCATCCATCCAGAAGATAAAGATTTTCTTTCGTTCCCGGAGTTGAACACAAGGCTAAATAAGAGCCTCGTTTCCCGCCGAATCAAAAAGTCGACTGCAGTGAGGCTCCCTGCTAGGCTGTATCCTTCTCCCCCGAAACCTAGCTCCCATCATCCATAACCCTTTACATTCCACGT